TATTAAATGTTTTAATGAGCCTTACTTTACTAAATCTTATATCTTGTAATAGTTTTTAATTATCTATTTATAAGAGTATGAGAAACATTTCTATGACCTGATAAAAAAGGAAATAATTTCATTTGCAAATTTATTTTTTTCCCTATCTTTGCCAATACATTTATTTAGTCTGATGACCATGCTTACGTGAGTCATAAATATCTTTGAAGTAAAATAAAGATATAGATATTTGAGGATATAAAGTATTTAATAGCACTATTAAATACTTATTATAATACGTATTATAATAGCCATATTGTTAAGAGGTTATGAACTCTGTTTCCATGTGAAAATGAAGCAAATGCAAAAGAGGTCAGTCACTTACATAACTAACTTAACTCTGTTTGAACAGATTGCAGCTTTTCTACACAGCTTAGTGTTGATACTGGGTGCAGTGAATTAAAAATGGTTTAATGTGCGCCTGCCTTGAAGTGTTCCTGTTCCCGTTGCATATCTGCTGATGATTTAACTCATCTGGCTTTAAAAAAGTGCAGAACAGAAGTATTTTTGGAAAATATTTTGAGGCCAAAAGGATAAATTGGCTTGTTTATTTACTTTGTTTGTTTTTGTTAGATCATACATGCAAATGGTTTCTAACCTTTCAGTTGTGTTTTAACAGTCAGTTTATTATCCCTCGTTAAGACAATAATGTAAAAGACTTTAGATCCAGACTTTTGTTGATTCATATGTAATGAGTGGAGAAAAGCTTTTAACAGCAATGTTAGTTATATTTAAGTCTGCAACAGATATATGATAGGAATACAAATATGACAGTTTAGACTGTCGATATATGAGTAAAAAAGGATTACTTTAGCAATGAATAAAACTTTTCATTTAAAAAGAGCTGCAGTATACACTAATGGCAGCTGAGTGATAGAGGTTATGTATTCAGCCTTTTACAAACAAAAGTCTCTAAAATCAAAGCTGTAGTTTGTATTCCACAGGTGTAGTATAATTTGCTTGTGTGTGCTTTGTGTTGGTTCTGTGGATGACCTTTGCTTTTCCTGTTTAAAAACATGACTCTACCCTCAGGCAGAGACCTGAAAATGCAACAGTAAAGTTCAGTGCACCCATTTCTAGAACATGTTTCTTCTTGAGCTAATTTTCTGTAAAATGCATCAGCATGCGCAATGAACTTCTCCAAAAATGTTTTTAGTAGGTTGTATTTTTCATAACCCCGTTTGGGATAAGCGAGATGGAAAATGGATGGGTGGATGTATTTTTCATAAACATGAAATATAAATAGCTGGTTTAAAAAATGCTTCAAAATTTTTCTAAACTTTATCAGTAATACGTGTTTTTTCTTGTTCTTTTTGTTATTAGGTGAATAAAGCTTTCAACATAAGCCAATCTGGATTATATGATACTGAAAGAGAAACCCTGCTGTGCATAGATAAGAGCAGATTTCAGCTGGATATGAGGAGAGGTTTTCAATCCTCTTAGCTATATACTGATTATATCAACATTTTGTTTACACAAATCACAGTGTTTTTTTTTAGTTAGGCATTCCTCGTTTACATCACAACAAAAAAAATGAAAGAAGTTTTTTAAAAGATGAATGCGTAATTTTTATCTGTTTAAATTTGGGTTGATAAGCTCACATGGCTGTAAGAAACAATAGTAAGCAGCAGGTTTTAAGATGCTCAGCTGGCATTAAATTAAATCATGATGGTTGGGTAACTTTAAGCAGATTTCAGAGGAAAACTATGTAGGTTAGTTATGATTACCCAAATTATTCATATAGTATTTCCTTATTGCCAAAATAAACCTAAAATCAAAACCGTATTGCTTGTTGGTGTACACTGCTTAGGCCAATTAGATTTGATTTTACTACTGCTAATAATTTTCTGCTTTCTTATAAGAATTTGTACTGTGATCTTATTTCCATACACTAAGATTATTAAGTCTCTCTCTAAAGTCTTTGATTTCTGTTTATCAGCATCCGAGCTTGTCTTTCCTTTTTTACAGCAAAAGCAGTAAAGACTAATTCCGCAACATTTTTAAACTTTTCCACACTTCCATTGTTCAGCTTAACACCCTAATGCCCCCATATGAGCCCTAAGAGATCATATCCACATAAGCAAGAAACTGTTTTGTGACTATTAATGTGATTCTAAGCGAGAAAAAGAACATTATTAAGCTTATTTGCACTTATTTTCTGCAGATCTGTTTGTGCCACAAATATTGATTGGTTCTTTTTGTCTTGTTTTAATTTCTTCTTGATAAGACAAAGCAGTATTATTTACTTTCTTATTTGTCCTTTTTTCTGTTTGTGTATGTCCCTGTGGCTTTGGAGATACTGTATGTGAAGCATACAGCACACTTTGTTTATCCCTTAGAGATGTTTCCCTCCATTCGCTGGCAGCACAGCTGTCCTGAGACCAGACACAGCTGTGGGGTCAGCCCTCTAACCACAACATGTCATTATCTAGGCATTAAACTGTTTTCCTAAAAGGTATGCAGGCTGCAAAGAGAAAACTGTGCTGTTCACTTCCACATCCAAAGATTTAGTTAGTAAACAAAGGGATATTAATTCACTTTCTGTGAGAGCATTTTTACTTTTAAAGATGCAAACTCATGTCTGCAACTAAAGGTACACTTGACAGATGACAGGAAGTGTATTTCAATTTACTAATTTCATCTATAGTGATTTCAATTGTTAGTTATGCTTATATCACAACTTTGGTTTTTAAGAGTAGAGGTTTTGTGCAAGTGGCTTCTTTAAGGTTATCTGGCTAACACAAATGGGTTGGTTAAAGGGACCTGGCCTCCTGCTATCCTGATAGTTTATTTAGTCTTTTAGCCTTCCTGTTTGTCACTTGACCCTGATTCGTTTTCTATGTTAAGTGCTTTACTTATTGAAATGGCAACTAGAGATTAATCTTTATTTATATCTTACTTACAAGTTAATACAAAAGAATATTTATTGTTATAGCAATGCTTACAATCACGGTTCACTATGTTTCTTGGTTTTGAAGTCATGGTTTTGCAAGTTTAATTACCGTATACAGAAAAAAATCTTTAACTTTAAAAAATAAATGTTTCACCTCATTTTTAGCCAAACCTTTAGTTGTGAACTAAATTGACATTTGTTTTTACTTTGGGTACGAATAAAGGATAGGCAATTATAGACAATATTTTTGTTTTATTATTTTTAATAAGAATCTTTCAATGTAATATTCTTTTTCTGTACTTTGGAGTTATTTTGATATAAAGAAACCCTTGAATATATAAGTTTAAGAAGCATTGTCAGAAAATCTCCTTTCATCCATTTCCACCACCATTATGACAGCCATGGCATTTGAGGATGGTTAAAAGCTGCAAGAGGCTGGATCTTGACTTTAGCCTTTTTTTCTTTGAACAGTTATTTTTACATTACAGCTTAAAGTTGTTCAAGTAAGTAATTGAATATAAAGAAAGCCACTTATATGAGTTATGTTACTGAACACAGTCGTAAGCCACCCAGCATTTATTTCTGAAGATACATTCATAATGATTAGACTAGAATTGGAATTAAAAGTAAATTTTTCCATAAGTAAAACACATTGTATACAGTGAAGTTTAATACCTGCTTAAAGGTTGTTATGTTCAAAACATTCTCCATAATCTAACAAGCCAGCTTCATCAAAATGCACATGCAAGAAGCTTGGTCAGACTATTGGTAGCAAGTTTCCTCTATGTTTTCATTAAAACTTGTTCATAATACAGCTCCTAAGAGGTTTTTCATTGTAGTGCCATTTCACTGTGCTTGAAAAATAAAAAAAAAGTTTTTCTATTGCTTTGCAAATGGCTCTGAATGCAATGCAATGAATATTTTAAAGCTGCAGAGACCAGTTTTTGCTTTCTTTCACTGCCAACATTTCAAAGAGGATAACCCAGATTTAGTAGAATAATAAGGTAATTTGCGTGGCCTGTACAATTAACAAGTCAAACATAGGAAAGAACTTGTAATGAAAAATGTGGTACACTGATCTCAATCCAGAGATAGGAAGTAACGAAGTACAAATACTTTGTTACTGTACTCAAGTAGATTTTTCTGATATTTTTACTTTACTTTACTACTTATATTTATGGCGACTTTTTACTTCTACTCCTTACATTTTTACACAAATATCTGTACTTTCTACTCCTTACATTTTAAAAAATTGGCTCGTTACTTTAGTTTTGAATCATTTCAATGGAGTTACCGTTATTGTTTTTCACGTCATCAGTATCAAATTCAATCTAATTGGATGGGAATCTATGTTGCATTTGACGCACCACTACAAGATGAATCGACAGAGTCGCGGCAAATCATTGCAGCTTGGTGGCGGTGGCGTTAGCATAGTAGCATGGACGACGAGATGATTGAAAATGAACACAACGGAGATCTAGTCCTATTGGCAGACATCCATTTAAAATGTAGGCAACGGCATGAAAAAAGTGGTTTCTACTTTTACTTTTATACTTTAAGTAAATTTACAAGCCTGTACTTTGTTACTTTTACTTGAGTAAAGAAGTTTAATCAGTACTTCCACTTTTACCAGAGTATTTTTTAACACAAGTGTCTTTACTTTTACTCAAGTACGGAAAGTGAGTACTTTTGCCATCTCTGTCTCAATCTGACACTATAAGTGTTTTTTTACATAAAATGAAAAACACCCAGTAGACTAACAAGGATCAGGAGTTATTGAAAGAGCAAGATTCAACAATTTGTTATACTTTTGTTCTTGCAGCTTGTGGCCTGTACCGCAAAACTCCATGTTGATTCATGTTATAGTTTTTTATATAAAAATAAAGAAAATGTCCCTGTATTGTTTGGCTTTATTTACCAGCCACTTACTTTTCTTTCCATTTAATCATAAATCCAGGACAAATAACAGTTATTGACTCAAACATAAAAGGCAGATTTATTCAGATTTTTTTTTTTTTTTTTTAGTCAAGTCAATATAATTGTTCTCTTCTGTGTCTTTTCACTGTAGCATTTTCCGGCTGTGAGCGCGGCCTTCATGGATTCTCCGTACAATGGCAACGCGTCCTTGCAGACGTCCACATCCAACCTCAATGCCAGTTACTCACGGCCCTCAGAAGCTGATGATGATGGAAAAGTGTCCAGTGATACAATCTGGTTGTGGATCGCTGTGCTGGCCACCATTGGCAACATAGTGGTGGTGGCTGTGGTGTGTGCCTGTGCCTTCTGACGCAGAAGAGGAGCAGATCAGGAACCTACTTGCAATCAGACATTTGAACTTTAACTTTTTTCCTCTTACTTTAATTGAAAATAATGCTTTATTGATAAAGCAGTCCGGGATCATTGACTTGTTTAATATGTGTGTCTAAACTTGAGGTATGCAGGGAAGCTTCTCATTTGAAATATCCCTCAGTAGCATTTGAAAACAAATAGAAGGGTAGGAAACTCAGGCAATGAGGATGATAATTAGGTTATTTAAAGCCATTAAATGCAAAGCTGCAAGATGGCCAGGGAAATGTGCAAAACCAAAATTATACAATATTAAACAGGGCAGAAATAATTTGTTTTTAAAATTTTGTTATAGATTGCTTTAAGTTTACGCTTTAAGTGTGTATACCAACTTTTTCTAAACCATTTGGTTAATTTTTTAGTCAATTTTCAATTCCTTCTTTTTCAATTTCAACAACAAAGAAGTAACTAAGCAAAAGCAGTTATAATAATGATTTATACCATACCAAGTGTATATAGTACCTAATTAAATAATTTTTAAAGAACAATAACTTAGCTTGAATTGTGATTTTCTCTTTAAATGGTAAAGACTGCCTTCAGAAGAACAGGTCGGTAGGTCTGCCTTTTAAAGCCGAACAAAGTTAACTAGGTCACAGAAATGCCCTTTTTAGTTTTCTCATGAACTTTGTATATACATATTTAAACGGCAACAGCCCCAGAGCAAGTACCTGCATTTATTCCCCAGTACAAGACTAAAAACCAAATATGGCCTCAAAATAAGAGCATTTAGGCTTGCCGGTATTGGAAACCGGGCAGCGGTTATATAAACTGATCATATGTAAGCCTATACATTGGCGATTACAGCATAGGCTTAGGGAAGGACAGGATTAGATGAGATCTTAGCTTAATCTTTTAGTGGTTTCAAACCACTACATTATCCAGTATTTATTTTATATATACTTTTCAAAAAACGGATAGAAACTCAAGGTTAAAATGGTAACAATACTTGACGAAGACTTAAGTCCAAATTTCTTTTTTCATGCTCATTTGATTTTGGTTTGTTTTGTATTACACACTTGGATCGGTTGATTTGAAATGACTTTTTACGTTAATTGTTGCTCACCCTTTTCCTGCAGTGACTCAGTGACGTAACGGAGCAGCAGCCGCACAGCTTGAGAATCTGTCCTTGTATCTGTTCTTGCAGTGCTGCATGCCATTAATTTGTTGTTAATAATACTCTAAAGTCATCTGCTGTATTTTTCTGAGTTGAACTGCTGCAACTTGTTTTTTTTTGGGGGGGGGGGGAATAGGAGGCCCAACTGCATCACTGTTGGTTTGTAAAACTTACAAAAGTGTATAATCCTCATTTTGAAATAATAAACTGTATTTAATGCTGGTAAAAGAGCAATTGGACAAATCCATCAAGATCTTTACTGTATTAAAAGAATACAGGAATATGTGAAATTATGCGCTCTTTCAGATTTAGATGCCAGTGAATGATTCAGACCTAAAAAGAAATTTAAATCTGTTTATAAGAGCTGGAGTCAGCTTTTTTCCCCCCGTGCTTAAGCCTGGTTACTACTAGTAAGACCTAATAAAAAAATAAATTATTTCACTTGAGTCCATCTGACAACTTGCACATAAATTTATTTATTAGTTTTTTTTTTTTTTTACTTTTCACATCATCCTCTGATCTGAATAAAATCAAGAACAAAGGAAATATATATATAATGTACAACTATGTTTATATATTATGTCTGTCTGAAAAAGGAAACAATGCATTTTAAAAGGCTTTAGGAGCCACTGCCCAAACGAGAATTAATCTGGAACAGGGATTAATTGTGAGGAAAAGCTGTTCAACCAAGAGTACATCCACAACTCACCCAGGAGGGCAGAACAATGTCTAAAGCGCTACACCTACTTCACCTGCCTTAGTTCAGGTCAATGTTCATCATTCAACACTAAAAAAAAGAGACTCAAGGGCAAAACTACTTGGCAGAAACTATAGCATGTCAAAGATACGCTAGAAGGGAAAATATGTGAACTGATAAGGGAGAAGTTCAACTTTTGAGATGTGTGTCCCACTTGATGTGGTGCATAAAACAACAGCTGCGTTTTGTAAAAAATAAATTCATACTGCCATTAAAGCAGAAGAGATGGTGGTGTACTGATCTGTTGCTGCTTTACTGTGTCTTTAAAATCCTTAAAGATACCAGCCCAGAATGTAAACTTAAGTGCACAAAGTTTATAAGCAACAGCAGGGGTCAGTTTCATGAAGCAGGTTTAACAAATTCAGATTCAGATCTGGAGCTTTAAATTGATCTAACCTAAAGTCAGGAACTCTGAGTGTTCTTTTTCATAACGGCTGCTATCAATTAGTTCAACCAATTTTAATTAGGTCCACTCAGAGTTAAACGCGTGCACAACAATTGAATATTGAGATCTGAAGTTAATTTCTAGACATCCAGAATGTTTATTCTAGATGTGGATAATGTCATTGTGTTTGAAATGGTCATTTAGACAAAGAAAAAAGGCTTTTTTTCAGATATCAGGAATAGATATTCAGTAAAACTAGTACATATCAAAACGACTTGCCATAGCATCATCTCATGCATCCCTTCTCCTGTTGATTCAGTCTTTTTTTTACACAATAAAGAGGATGTTTGCAGACAAATGGTCTTTATAAACGGCTATCAGTCCCCTCAGATTGTGCCAGTAGGCTCATTAGGTTGTTATCATCGAGTGAATCCTAATCCTAACGTAACTTTCTCTTTCCCCCACGGAATTACTGAATCATTTATGTGTAATCTGAAAATAACATTAGTTGTTCTTCTTGTACTGTTAATATAACTTAATAAAAATAAAATGATCCGCATCTCACTCATATTAAACAAAACAAAAACAAGTGATCTCATGCCATGTCAACTCAGTTGTAGAATCCTCTCCCTATAAATAGTTAATTCTCTGTGAAAAAGTGCCAATCATTCTTTAATATATATATATGACTAAATCAGGATATAAAACAGTGTGATTAGCTGTAAGGAGAGCAGCGACAGAGGACACTGAGCTTACTAAATAAAACCTGCTACCGACCAGGTTAGCTCTGGGGAGAATGTTACTACAGTGACTGAAACAGTGGTTGAGGAAACTCTCTTTGGGAACCAGAAAAGTCAGTTTCCGTTTTCAGGTTTAGATAACTTAGAGTTTTCGGTAAACCTGCTTCATAAAATGGACCCCAGGAGAGTTTACTAAAACACAATGATAACTTCAACAATTAATGACACAACAATCAAACGTTTGATGTTTCATAGTTAAAATCCGGCAATAATCAATGGTGGTGGAAGCAGTTTTTAGTTTAGCAGGATACAACTTTCACAGGATCACCAGGATTTTCTATAGTAGATGGATTTATCTTTTGAAAATTCTTTTTATTTTTACTCATTTTTCTTTTTCTTCTTCTTTAGATTTAGTGTGATCACTCAAAAAAGTCAGTTTTTACATAAAAAAAGCAAAAACAGAAAGTGAGATCAAAAGTTTTAACTCTTAACTGGACTTAACTTATTTTTTTTTGGTTCTCAATGCTTCAGAAACGTCTGATTTCTTTTCCAGCAGGCATCATATTTCAGACTATTTTAAGAGGTTCAGCTGAAACATGCTGTTCAGCTTGCCTAAATGGGAAATAAGGTCCAATTTATTAAGACAAAATGATGCAAATTCATTTTCCAAAGATACAGGGCTCAGTTAGGCAGTGATTTGTTGAAATTTAATAAGCAAGAAAAGGGTCACACCAGGGGCGCTTCTTTGTGTGAGGGCAGCTTTTCCCCTCATTATCAGAATAAACGCATCATTAAAACTTGTGTTAATACTAGTGTCCTGTTTCCATGCAGATCATTGAGATTATTAGTGAGGACATTGGTTTTCAAACAGCCAATGGGGAAGAATAAATGGAAGAAGACAATGAAGCACAGAGGGCTAGTGGTGACGTGGAAATAATGAGGCAAGATTAAGACAGGGGATATCTAAGAGCAACAGGAAACTATTTATAACTCTGCTTTGGTCATCAGAAAAACTGCTTTGTCAAAAAAGAATATAATATAATAGAATATATTTAACCAAAGCCAGAGTAACAGACAAAATGTGTAAGTTAGAACATTATTTATAGGAGGTGAAGGGTAATGATTGATGACCACTCTACATCGGTTAGAGGTTAAAAAAAATAGAGGAAAATGAAACAAGCAGAAAGCCCTTATTGTATGAGCTTAATTAGCAATGTGAGAAAGACATCAGATGAGAGGGAAAGATAGTGCTGAAGGAAAGTGATGTATTGGAGGAGACAGATAAAGAATGAGAGAGGTGGTGTGAGGAGGAAGAGAACAACTGAGGGAAAGTAGTCATCACAGAGTACAGTTTGTCAGGATGACAGGGAAGGAACTTAAAACAGTTGCAGTTTCAACTTTGAGCTGAATATATGAAAACACCAAAGAAAGGAAGTAAAACATCTGAATTATGCAGAGTAGTTGTATTCATACTTAGATTAAATTACACACTAAAACATGTTTGTTACTTTAAAGAGAAGGGGACTGGTTGAACAAGCTTTTAATTTCAGGGATCAAAATAATATTTGGGGGTTGTTAAGGCTATATGATGGAGCAGCGGAGAAAAGTACAAATATTTATGAAACCACTCTGACTAAAGCCAATATCTTGGTGCTAACCTTTTTAAGTGTCATGGGTAGAAGAACCTTTAACCTGTTATAATGTTTGGTGCAAACTAACACACCTTGAGAATATAGAATGTTATTACTCTATAGTACAAATTTGTGGTTGGGTCATCTAGTGAAATTATCCCGTAAAAATTGTTAAGTGAGCCTAACTTGACACTAAAAAAGGCAATTGAAGCAAGTACTTCAATGGAAATGTTAAGATCATTCTTTGGGGTGGCTGAAATATTAAGCTCGATTTGTGTCCAACCTGATGAATCTGCTGCATCATTGTTGCTTTTGGCATCTTTTCAGGTTTTTGTGTCTCAGTTTTTTCTATGGAATGGCCTGTTAGTTTTTGTCACAATTCAGTCATTTCATATGCAAAAATGTTACTCAATAAGGTTTTAGTGTAGTTTTTGTACAATTTAGAATTTTTTTCAGTGTATTCTCTCTTATACATACTGTATCAGAAAGTGAATGCAAAACAAATGTATGTATAGCATTTAAAAACAC